AGAGCTTTTAATTGATCTTTGGATTCAGAGATTCAGTTGCTGAATCAGGTCAGATCTCCTCCAAATTGAATCAGCTACCGAAGCTTCGCACACCCATCAAGGACAAGTGTAGTGCAGCCACTCGGGGGAGCCTAGTGGCTATCCCTGGAGGTGCACATGCTGTTACAGGGTGTAGGATCAGCAACCCGTACTGCAGGTGTGACTGCATCTCCTGCTTCTAGCTTACTCCACTCATCAGCATAGGCAGATGTCACCAGGGGAGTAGCAGTTGGGGGCTTGTTTTTTGTTGTTTTTTTGTTTTGTTTTTTTTTTTAAGCACCTAAATCAGTTAAGAATCACACCCTCCCTGTTCTCAGCACCCTCTTCCTTTCTTCTCCATGCTCAGCAAGACCTCCCATTCTCCTGCTTGCCTTCCTGCTGCAGCTGCTATTTGTGGCTGACCTTCCTTCACAGAGGGTAGAAATAGATATTGCCAAATGAAATGGATCAGTTGTAACACATCCTGGCACAACTGATTTGTTCCATTGGGCAAAATGTATGTTGTCCTAGCTATTGATGCTGCAGGACAACACACGAAGTGTTTGCTTGGAGCTTGAGGGGCCCAGCCCTGCATGCTGTAGGAATTCCTGTGAAGGATCAGGCCCCTCAAAACCTGGGAGTACCTGCCTAGCTTTTCCCGCTTACAGAGACGCCTCTGGGACACACGTCCATAAGCAGGTAAAGTCAGGGTTCCCCATTTACAGCAACATGCGCCCAATCCTTCAGGGAATTCCCAAGGTATGTAGCACTGGGCCTCCCAAGCCCCTGGAGCGTAAAGCAAATAGACAAGCTGCAAAAATTTAAAAATTTGGTGTGGCCACAGCTTTGGGGCATTTGTGGTGTAACAAGGGGCCTGGATATCTGTTTGCTCTGCCTTTGTGCTGCTGTCACTTGTAGGTGTTGTAAGGTTTCAGCCTCTTCTTAGTAGGTGCCTTGCTCCCAAGCAACGTCAGCATGAGGCTTTGGCTCAGGTGCCACCTAGATGGTACAAGTGCTGCTTCTACTCACCTGCCATGTCTTTGATGTTCCTTGTTGGGGAGGCAATTCCCTTTAGGTGGCTCCCAGTAGCGAAGAGGTCTTGATCCTGGTCTTTTCTTCATGGGGCTCCAAACCTTCTCTTTACCCCACTCCACAGCCTGGACAAATGCTGCATCTGGCAGGTCTTCCCCTGGATGATCTCTACTTTCACCCAGGTCGCCTGCCTTGCAGTGGGTCGGGCTTTCTTGGCCAACACAAGAAACCACCGCCAGTTCCTTGGCTTCAGGCTGCTTGGGCTCATAAACTTGCCCTTTCTCAGGACTAACTAGGACTTCAAAAATGAACCAACAGAAAACATCCGGCCTTTGCTGACAAGCCCCTGGGATCCTGTCTCCTAGTGTCCTCTTGGTCACTCAAATGAAGAAAGAAAAAAGGGGGGCCAGCCGCCCTGTTACCCACCCTGATCAGTCTCCCCAGCACAACCGCTTCTTGGTCCCAGCTGACCTGGGGTTACTCCCTGGCTGTTCCTGAGCTGGTGGGGCATGCAGTTCCCTCACTGGGCTGCTCCTTCCCTGCTGGGCTGCTTGCACAGGCTAGCAGCTCCCTGCCGCTACCTCACACCACCATACCTGTTGCAGTGCTGCTCCCAAACGTCCCCTGGCTTTTCAGGTTTGGGCTTCCTCTCTGCCCCACCAGAGCCTTCCCGTCGCCTCTCTGTTCTCCTCTCTCCTCCAGCTGGGCAATCCTCCTCTCTTCTGCCGGCATCTCTGTGTTGGTGTCCCACTCCTCTCTCGCTGGCCTCACAGCTGTTCTCCCAGCTGCCTTTTGAGCCTCCCGTGTTTCTCTGAGGCTTTGCCCCCGTCCCACGCAGATCTGCAGCCTCAGGCAGCTCCAGAATTGTGGAGCCTACATCTGCGGTTCTCCCCAGCTGCCGCTTGACCCCATCTCTGTGGTGAGTATCGGGGTGCCTGGAGCAGGGGTCTGGGACATCCTAGAGGGGCTTTTATTGCCCCTCACAGCTGCCATAAAGTGTGTTATGGTGGCACAAAGGTGACAAAAGGTGATGTCTGTCTCCACCCATAAGCTGCGTCCAAATGAGCACAGACGTGCGGCATGTGGCACCACAGACCTGTCTGTAGTGCCACATACCGCACATGCAGGCATTCCCCATGTTACTACCTTGCAGCATGATGGGGTGGGGGAAGGAGGGGTTGACTCCAGGAGATCCTGGGATCAAAAAAAACCCACACCAAAAAAAAAAGTAGAGTGGTGCACATTGTGGCAGTGTGCGCTGCCCAAAACCAGAGCTCTGCTCCAGCTGCCAGTCAGGCTTCCTGCCATGGCTGCAGCCCTGGGAGACCCCCAGGTAACACTGCTGGGGCCAGCACAGTTGCTGGTCTTAACCTCCCCTACCCTACCTGGGGTAACCAGCCACATGCCAGAATGTGCATAGCACAGGCATTCCCTGGGGACACATAGCAGTGGCACAAGGTGTGCTGCTGCTACTTGTCCCCAGGGAAACAAATGCTCGTGCTTGTCTGGACGCATCTGTAGCGACTCAGCTCACATCAAAGTATTTGTGCGTTTCAGGGTAGTTCCTTCTCAAACAGTAGGGTGGGTACAGCCAACTAGATAACTGAAAACAATAGTTTGGCAGGAACCCAAACCATCAGGAAGGGGCAGTATGGGGTGAAGGCTGGAGGGGATAGAAATTTTGCACACTCAGATGTTGCACCCTCCCATGTGCACACACACAAAGGAGAGGACTCGTTTCCTGTGTTGGTGGGGAGGGAAAGGAGTGTCATTTGTGTTCAAGCAAAGTAAAACCTAGATCAGGCTTGCCTGTGGTACTCTAGCATATTACTTACAGTGAAGAAAACTAATGTGCTAAGATCATCACAGCAAGCTGCTGTGCAGGCGTTGAATCCACAGTCTAAACTCTGTGAGCGCTAGACTGATCCCTTAACCGTTGCTGAAAGGCAGACGGAATCATCTTTCCCACAAATGAAAGAACATTGGTCAGAGGTAATGGCAAAATTAAACATTTAAGAACAGAGAAATATTGTTACTGCAGCCAGTTCCCTTACACTGATCTTCCTGGTGTAAAGCAGAAGTAATCCCACCAGTAGGTTCAAGAATGAGGGAAGAGGGATGCACTCCAATATTTGTGCTGTGCATGCACAGTGAGCTTTAAGTTCACTGCCTGGTCAGTGTGGGCTCCTGCCAGTGCTCAATATGCTCAGTGGGCTCTGAGCTTACTAGCTGATTGGGATGGGGTTACTTCACAGCTCAAGAGCTCAGGGGATGAATGTTGCTGCTATTCAGCCTTCCCCTTTCCACTGAATTCAGCAGCAGGGGAAATGAGGGGATGACTGTTGGTGGAAGTCCTCAGCACCTGGGCTCTGGATGTGCTTAAAACGGGGGCTCTGGATAGACCCTGCACTGAAAGCTCACATGAGACCCAGCCAAATGTGGGGGTACATCTGCTCTGCCATTTTCCCTCTGGATCTGCACCTGAACCCTACTGGCAAGTCAGGAATGACACTGGAGTAAGTCCAGGGTAAATGAGGGGAAGATCAGGCCAAAATGTATTCAAATCATTCCAGCACTGCTTTGGTATGGAAATAGCCACCACCTGCCTTGTTTGGAGGTTGGAATATCAAACATGTGCCCCAAAAGATGGAAAAGGATTCTTTATTATCTAAGTTCAGAGAATATCTTCCCAGGAATACCATATGCTAAACTGAGTGTGCTGAGATGGACAGGATGGGGGATATGACAGAGAGAAAATTCTGGTACTTCTTAACTTTCAAGCGCTTGATTATTTTTTTGCAACCCTAATCTGATTATTACAAAGCTTTCATAATTAATTTTCAATAATTTATTGCAAGAAATGGAAGCACCCTCCCCCAATCTTCAGCTGGTTTTGAACCCACAATGCACTACACCACAGAACCCACCATTGCCACTTTAACTCTTAGGAAAGGACTGAATACTTAGCTAGCAGCAGGAAATGGACCAGCCCCTAACCTAGGCAATACAAAACAACATGAACTGTGGAAGAATATAGGTAAGTCCATATAGAGTTGGCTGTTTTGTTTTTTTCCCTGACAGCATAGAAAAGACTTGGAGCCAACATTTTCCATGAAAAGATCTTCCAGAGGTGGCTCATAACACAGGCTGCAAGTGCCTGCAGAATTCTTGGTTACACAAATTCTTGTTACTTTTGTACTGTTCAATGTTTTCTTAATGCTATTGGAGCCAAATCTGAACGTGCCAAATCTCAGCTTTTTATATAACATTTTTCTAGCTCTTGTGGTTGCACAGTAAAACTTTGAAACACGATGTACGCATGTTATTTATCTTGTTGGCTTTTGTTTGGGAATTTACTTTCGTAGGAGCTCCTCAGCCAGTCCTCTTGAGCAAATTTCAGTCTTTTAAATGGACAAAATTATCTCTTTGCCCTGTCCTAGATGTTAGGAGGGGAGCCCCTGTTATTCTTGCCCAGCACAGCAGCCTAGTCCCTCTTTGCAGCATTCTAATTCCCTTCACAGCTTGCTCCCTTCTCCTTTTGCTTACTCCTCTGACAGCTTTTAAAGCTCCCAGTGGGACGCACTCTGCTTACTCAAATGTCCCACAGCTGGGCTTTCTTAACAAGGCTGACTGTTCCTTTAAGGAGGAACAGACTGCCCTGTTACATGTAGCCTCTAAAAATCCAAATGATCAAGCCTCTAAAAATCCAAATGATCAAGCAAAGGGACCCAACATTTATTTTAAAACTTGTTTTTTAAATCCCTTTCCTGAGTTTTGTGCAACTGGAATTGGCTGTACTGCTGATAGTCTTGCCCTCCTTCCCACCCCTGCTCACCGCTTGACCTGCTGTCTTCAAGTTGGTGTAGGACACTTTTCTCAGACTTTTTCTTCCTCTAAAGAGTGCTCAGATTCAGTAGTTACTTTTGTTTCTTGTGTTTTGCTTTCTCTAGGGATGACCCTTAAAAGGCTGACAGCAGTAGATCCAGAGTGGATGGCTCGGCTCTCTCTGCCGCTTGCTAATAGCTACAAGGACAATGTTTTCTCCCCTGATTCTCTGCACTCATCTTGGAACCAGGAATTCATAGTACAGGACAAACCAAGAACCTTCAAGACATTTGGCAAAGCTATTGGATATGACTCGAATGCACCTGGGACAAGACTGACCAGCACCTTTCTTTCAGAAATGAGTACACTTTTTGAAATGATCTTGGCTCAGAAAGTCCATGTCCATGCTGAATCAAACTCTGAGCTTCTGCAGCAATTGAATGCATGTGGCAAGCCCTTGGGACTGAGTGGTGATACTCCTGCTCTGTAGACAAATTGGGAAGACAGGCAGCCCCATAAGGACATATGAATAAAACTGTAGCTTTTCACACATGGAAATAGCCACTGGGGTGTATGTGTATGTTCAACTAGTTTCATAATGTGAAATGTAGTTAAATAGAGAATTCTCCCTTCCCCAGTCCTATTTCCTTTCATGTTCCTTCTGGCCCAGTCCCATCTCTTCCAAGGTCATTTCCATCTCCTGGTCCTTCTGTCCTCTATCTCCATCTTTTGTGCATCTGCCTTGAACTTGTATTTTAAGTTTCTCACTTTAGAAAGAAGTTTACCATCCCATAAACTGCCCCAGGTGGCCCTGAGCCTTCACCTGTAGGAACAGGAAGACATACAATGAGCAGAGTTATGCCATTTGTTATTGAAGCCACATGGGCACCTGATAAAGTGGTAGCCTGAGAAAGGGAACCCAGCAAGCCCTATTCTCTTAGACCAGGTGGTTTAAGAGAGAATTTTTTGTAGTGACAATGGAGTGTGCGCACATGTGTACACATTGCTTAAGCGCCTGGTAGATATTATATTTACAGTGTGATCATGTTAATCTTGCCATAAAAGGCAACTTGCCACACATGCAACCAATGACCTCATAAAATTAATAACCAACCACAAAGATATTGCACATATAACTTAGAACATGTTTGTGTCTGGTTCGTATGGTGCCTGAAATTGAATGTGTGGTGTGCTGATTGCTGCAGTTGGAATTAGGGCAGTGCAGGGTCTTGCACTGGACTAGGACTACCCAAGGGGCCTGCAAGGGCTAGGCAAGGAGAGCTGTTTGGCTTCCCACATCTGGCATGTGCAGATATGCATACCTAGCCCCATGCAGGGTTGCATCATGCACAGCTTTTGACTAGCTGGTGCAGGTGGAGTGTTCCACCTGCATTGGCAAGTTGAAAAGGTTCAACTGGGATCTGATCTCTGATGCCCAAAATTGTGTGGCCAGTCATGCACATACAGAATGGTAGGATGCAGAATTGTTGGAATCCAGGATCAGATCCCATCACACCACTAAATTCATGTCAGCTAGGAGTCTTACAGACCCAAATACAATGTCTGTATGCTCATTGGCAGGACTTCTATATGTAGTATGATGCTTATTCATCACATTGCTGCAAAACCGGGTTCCAGTCTCTCAGCTTCTATTTAAAATTAAATGCTATTTCTAGTTCTTACTGTTGTGGAGAAAAAAACCCATGAAAATATTTGATTCCATGACATATGCTTGGAATCTGAAGAAATCCTGACACTCTGATTCTGAGAGGAGAGACCAGTCCTTTGTTCCACAGCTGTAGAATTTTGCATTTTGCCAAGCATCACAGAATCATAGAGAAGTAGGGTGGCAAGGGACCTCCAGAAGTCATCTAGTCCAACTCCCTGGCAGTAGTAGGACCATCCCCATCCAAGTCATCCATTGTCTAACCTCCTAGCAACATTACACAGTCAACCTAGACACAATACAAGACCTAACACCCTATTGTGCCACAGGCAAAGCAGGTGAACAACATCCTGCTGCTACAAAGGTAGTTAAAATATGCTCAAGAGATCCCAGGAAGAGGGTGTGACAGGGTGCTTAGGGCACTGGTCACTTAAGAGAGTCTGCTTGGGAAGCAGCTTGTGGGGGAGCCAGGGGGGTGGGGGGAGGAGGGGGACAGGAAGGTGCTGATTAGAGAATCACCTGCCCAGACGGGGTTTTGGCTTGCGCCATATTGTGCGGGCCGGGAGCAGTCCGAGGCCCGTTTTTCGCGCGGCGGGCTGTGGCCAGCAGCCCGGACACGCCGGGTCGGGGAAGGCAGGCGGCACGCTAGAATTAGGCACGGACGCTTAATGGTCGTTTAAGATTGTTTACTTACACCGTAGATGGTCCACCGCTGGCTGGAAGGCTTCCAGGAATACTTCGCTTAAATCCTAGTTTAAGGACTCGGACAGAGCTCTGGATTCACTCACAATTCACTCACACGAAGTTTGCTAGGCTCTGTGGAACTTGCGCGCAGGGAAGGGTACGTCGAGGGATCATTCGGCGACGGGGAGAGGCGAGAGGCTGAACAGACCCCTGTTGACTTCTTGATATTCACGCTGGGTCCAATAGGCTCCACAGCGCTTAGAGATCTTCACGAGACGTGAAGTCTCTTCCTCCTGATGTTCGTGGAGTCCTCCAACTTGGGCGGAAACCACTCAAGCCTCTTATACGGCTAGCAAGCCAATCGCTAGCCGCCACGTAGGAATAATTTAGAACTGTCCAATAGTGGGGCATGAATCTAAATACAAATGGCGGGAACTCCTTGCAACATGCATTTCTGAGCTGCAATGAAGAAATGCACCCTGCAAAGAAAGCTACAAATGGCGGGAAAATAATTTAGCAGTGCCGAAGCACACACAAACAAAAAATCACACCCTTGGGTTGTGACACATATAAGTCCAGGGCCTGAACTGGTCAGGCAGTCTAGCCCTGAGAGCTGCAGAGGAAAGAGCTCTTGGTAATGGGGCTGCATCCAGGCTCCTAAGAACATTGCAAGATGGGGTAAGCAGCTCTGCAGGCCTGGGAACAAGGGAATGCCACCCAAGGAAAAAGGACCCTTGGTATGCAGGCAGGTTGCCATTATCTAGGTTAAGGCCCAGAGGGTTTAGCGGTGCCTGCTGGAGGGCTTACTACTGAGTTTACTGTTTTTACTGGTGGTTTGTGGAAGGGATTTGAGAGGGGTGGCTTGGATGTCCCATTAATGCCCAAGGGGCACATGATCGCCTTGAGTTCTACTGGAGACAGACTTAAGGCACAGTCAGTGCCTGGGGCTGAGGGGTGGGGCAGAGGCTAGGGCTGGAGGCTTGGGGCCTGGGGGTGGGACAGAGGCCAGGGCGGGGGAGGGCCCAGGGCCCAGGAGAGCAGTGAACCCAAAGAGGGGTGGAGCCTGGGGACCTGGGAAGGCAGCAAGACCTGGCCTGAAGACCTGGAGCCTGGGAGGGCAGCAAGTCCGAAGTGTGGGAACAGGGACAGTTGAGCCCATAGCCTGGTAAGGCAGGCCTTGGAAAGGATAGGCCCAGGGACAGGGCCCAGTACCCAGAGGAGGGCAGAAATAGGGCCAGGGGCCCAAAGCCTGAGAGGGGCTAACCCAGAACCCAAAGGGACAGGACTAAGGCTGGAGCCCAGAAGCTAAGTCTGGTACCATGGTCCTGAGCTTAAAGGCCCAGCAGGAGAAAAGGGGCAGAGGCCAATAAGGCTAAGACCCGTACAAGGGAGAGTGATGATACAGTGACATCTATGAGGCATGAACATGGTATAAGGGGAGTTTGGAGCCACGTAATCAGCCCTTAAGGCCACAGGTGCCCGGGAGTCACAGAAGGACTGAGAGAGCCCACTCAGCTCAGGGTTCAAACTGGAGCCAAGAGGGTATGGGAGGGACCTGTTCATGGCTGGAAGTGACAAGGGCCACTCTTAAGATCTGTAAGCAGCCTCCCTTCCCAAATTTTAATAAGAACGAGGTATGGCGGGCAAGGAAGCTCTTAGAGAATGAGCCAGACAGGAGCCATATGGACACCAGGGGGCATCATGGAGGCCCAGTCCTGTTACAGTGGGCCACCTCCAACCCCTGGTACTTTAGAAGAAGGCAAAAACCCCACAGGTAAAATTGCTTTCTGACCCAAAATATACGAGTCATTCTGACCCAAAGTGGAGGGGGCAAGAGCCTCTAGCCAGGAATCTCTGGTTTAAGTACTAGCAGGAGCACTGACACCCCTCAGCCACAGGCACAGCCATGGCTACAGCCAACACTTAATGCTTCTGAAGCAAATGTAGCAGCAGGAGGGGAAAAAATTGCTTCCCAGCTCCTTGTGGCAACCAGCAAAGCCCAGAAGCATAGGAAATTTGCATAGTAGAACACAGATATGACCCTAGATCATCCCTGACCGACCGCTTCTTGAACAGCTTGTCCAATGACTTCCCTTTTTTTTGTGCAACTATATAGAACTCCACCTCCAACACTTTGCCAAGTGGCCCTTGTGGTTCACTTGGCAGCTCAAAGCACACTAAAAATACCCAGTACACAGTTCACACTGTGCAACCACGCACCTGTACAACTATTCTTGAACAACTCCAATGACAGAAATCCCACAACTTCCCTAGAGAGCAGTGGTGATGCGTAGGGGATGCATGGGGGTGCACATGCACTGCCTGAGAGCACTGGTGCACCCCCTCACAGCAGCATTTCCCACTTAAGCGGGAGCAGAGTGGGGGCACCAGGAGAAGTGCTGCTGGCCCTTCTGTGCACACTGCTGGCACTTCCAGGCAGTGTTCCCTCTTAAAGCCAGCTTAGAGGGAACACTGCTTCTGGGTTGGTGTGCACGACCCCTCCCCGCCAGTTGGAGGGGCCATGGAGGGCCCCCCCCACTGTCACTGACTGAATGCTGGGCGGGGTGGGGGGCACCAGTTGCTCATGCTAGACAGTCTATTCCAGGGGCATGAACGGAGGCTGGGGGGCACAGCGACTGCCCACAGGCAGCAGTGGCGGGGGTGTGGTGGCAAGCAGGGAGCTCCTGCAGGCAGCCATGGTGGTGTCGGCAGTGGGGCGGGCTGAGCAGGGAGCTCCTGCAGGCAGTTGCAGCCGTGTTGGAGGGGGAGGGTGGCAAGTGCCAACCAGCAGTTGGCAACCACCTGCAGATGCTGTTGGCAGTGGCCAGTGGTGATGAGGGACCGCCTGCAGACACCAGTGGCATGGGAGGGGGTGGTGAGTGGTGACCTCCCGCAGGCGCTGCCGGCAGCGCTTTTCACGCATGCACCCCCTGCGTGTCACCAGTGTCCAGTGGTGGGCAAAATATGGCTCATGGGCTGGATCTGGCCTGCCAACTGACTGGATCCAGCCCATGGCTTCCCCTGCGGTGCTCTGCATCACAACCTGCTCTTGGCAGGGCAGCCTGTGCCACACTCTAGCCTGTTCCCACCAGCTGGGCCCTGACTAGCATGCACAGCTTCTGACAGGGCTGTTCCCAGTGGTGCTCTGCTCTCCTCACCTCCATCAGGAGCTGTCCTGCTGGAGCTTCCCCCCAGCCTGCTTGCCTAGGCAGCTGTGTGCTGCTCAGCTTTCCTTGCCTCCAGCGGTGGCTGCTCCTTCCACTGCTGCACCACACTGGGAACAGCTCCACTGGAAGCTGTTTGCGCTGGCTAGGGTCCAGGCCGGCAGGGCTGTTTTACTCTCCTCAATCTGAGTTGGGG